TCGAATATATGTTTACACACAATTACCCAGCCAAAGATAACGTCTTTTACAAAATGTTGCAGGAATGATTGATGGTTAAATAGACATAATCAGATTTTACAACATTTTTTTTCAATTATCGATTACATAAAAAACATACTCGGTTTACTTTCTTTTACTCCTCAGTTTATATGTAGTTAACTATTGTTAGTGTAGTGTCATTTTACTCTCACCATCATCATCATCATCATCATCATCATCACTGCGTGATGAAGTTAGAATATTTCATGTGGCATTAAAAGCAATCACTTGCTCATCAGCGTATGATATTCACCCTTATCATGACCACAATCAAACAATTTGTACCTTGAAACACAAACAACAATCGCCAGTTGTTTAATGGCGTTTCGGATCAGCTGTTATCCAGGGTCGCATCAAAATACAAGCCCTTAAGGAAAATATGACAGCCTTGAAAAATGGCAAATAATTATAAATTCATCTCATTCATAACAACGGCGACATGGAATTATCCGGCCCTATCTGGAATTATGATATTTCCCCATCATAAATCAGCTCCGTGTTGTATCAAAGGACATCCTTTTTATTTAATATCAGACCTCTAGTTGGACAAAGGCCAAACGTACACACGCAGGACATGACCAAATAATGCAACTCTCGCGGGACCACCGCGAGAGTTGCGGATGGATTAATGGCGACAGGCAAAAGCAAATAGTAAACGTAGACCACGCGTCAATCCACCGTGGGGGCTTTGTGGTGATACAATCGCTATATCCCTGGTCAACTTTCTTAATGTGGACTACAATTTTTAGTTGTATACAAAAGCATTACAAGTGAGGGTCTTCATGGGTGGTTAAAAAGGAGTCTCTTTATTGTGATTGTTGATGGCGAGTATGCAATGAGTGGTTTTACGCCGCTTTAAGCAATATCCCAGCAATGTCGCGGCGGTGGAAGTAAAAATTCTGCTTCACGCTCTGTTCTCATGTAAGGAATCAAACCGGATTTTGACGTGACAAGCTAACGCTTTAACTACTGGGCTACTGTCATTAATGGTTTGGTTTATAGACCCGGAGACGTGTGTTAATCTAAATTCAGACTTCGTTGCACCCCTTAGTTTTCGTTCGAGATGATACAGTTTAATGTGACAGTAAATATAATAAGAGAATAATCAGTCTTAATTATCCGCGGAAACAGATTCCATTTGGCGTAAAAGGCAAACTGAATGAATCACTAGACCCGTGGAGACAAAGGTCTTCAGCAACCCATTCCTGCCGTAAACGGCGACTATACCTATCGTAAGAGACGACTAATGGTATCGGGTGGTCAGGCTCGCTGACTTGGTTGATGCATGTCATCGTATTCCAATTGTGTGGATCGATGCTCATGATATCAATCACTGGATTGTCTGTTTCAAACTAGATTATTTTCAGACCGCTGTCATGTAGCTGAAATATTACTGAGTGCGGCGTTAAACAAAAAAGAAGCAAACGAACTGAATGGACCGGTCAAAATCAGTGATGACACCGGGTGTTGGCGAAAATGATAAGCATGTCCTGCTCTACCGGTAGAACCCGCCACACAAATTGCATAAAATTCTCCTGTCATACGACGGCAACCTGTACACAAGTTTAACCCTCCGTTTAACTTGTGAGACTTTATGGGAGATTCCCATTGTACATTGTATCTTACACTCGTTGCTTGAAGTATTGGTGTAAAATAATAAAAATGCCGTTTATCTAAGAAAGCCTACAACATGCTTGTACACCTCGATAGTCTTGGAAAGAACACATGGCTTCTTGTATACTTACATTGCTTTTTACATGTGGCTTTGGTTTCATTACCCAGACAATTGGTAATGCAAATGTTTTCATTAAGTACTTTCGCATGCGTGCCATTGATATGTTTCATCAGAAATGGCATTGAGATATTTACGAAAGTTCAAGATATAATACTTATCGCCAGTTCAAGTCATTGCTTGAACCAGAATCTTATTTATCAAACTTACGGTACAGGAATTCTCGTAACACCCTTATTCGTTTTAGACCTGGCCTGAATGATCTAAAAATGAACACAGGGAGATTTTCATCTATTGAGAATAACCATCCTAGATTTTCTGCCGAAACGGATTCCACTTGGCGTAAAGGGTAAATAGCTGTGGAAATCATATGAACGAACCACTGAAAATCAACGATGACACCAGGTGTTCGCGAAAAGGTTAAAATGGCGTTTTTTTGTAGTGTCAAAACAATCAAAAACAGTCAAAACAATTCTAGCTATATCACAACCGGTTGTAAATAGCCGAGTCCTAACCAAGCAAACTAGAGGATGAAAGCATGAGCATCGAAAGTACATTGTTACCATCCGATCCTCATAGTCGGCTCTATTTACAAGCGTGTGCATTAAAGATACAGTGACGTTCCCTACCTACTATGGAAAAGGTGTAGTTATATCACGGTCAAGAATTAAATCCACTCAAAGTCATGAAGAAAGTTTCAAGACGCATACATTTGAAAAATTGGTTTTGTTGTCAACGAGCAAAGATACCGAAACAAAAAAACCCTTGAAAAAGTAGAATAATTACAAAAGCTGATACATCTGGTTTAATTGAAATGAATGCCATTTTTAACCACGACGAGGAGGACCCCTCGCGACCCTCACATACAGGTGGAGTTGCATTAAGCATTATGGACGGCTGTGCAAACAACATTGTCTTTACATGCCGGTGGTTTTTGTGTCGTTACTCGCTCTAAAATCCCACATCGACAGTTGAAGACTTCTCAGTTGAAAAGCCGCGAGAATTTTATAGCGGATTCGTGCTTAATGAGGATCGGGGAAGATGGAACTGAAATTGACATGAAAGAGCTACCATCTGTCAGATCTGAAATGAGACCGTGTTCATGTCGACAGGACCTTGTCTACAGCGCAAGTGGCAAGCGCAGGACATGTGGCTTAATGCGCATGTCAACTACGGGTTTTGTTTATAACAGCTCGTTGTCAGTCTTGGACATGGGATGTCGATTTCATGGGATTTTGATAACGACATCCGATGTCAGTTTTGACATACGAGGTTATTGATTTAAACATCTTGATTTATGTGAGACGGATTTCAAGTGTCAGTGCCAGTGTGTTTACAGATGGATTAGTTGTGTTGGTGTAACTGTTGCATGTTTTGCATGATAATATATTCATCCATTATGCTTTTTCTCTCACTCCTACTCGCTGCTGCATTAATGGTATTTATGATAGCCCTTTAATAACTTATGGACGCTTGGGCATATCTGGAGCTATTGATCTAATAAATACGTGACAAAACGTGAACGGATTATAAAGTCAACCATTGTGACCAGTCCTTGAATATTTGAGAGATTCATGCTACAATAAGAATCGGTCTTTTGTTGCGATATGGCAGCGTTTGGCCATTCTCTCGTCTCCTGGGAATATGCATGTGGTTTGGCAGATTCTCCTCTGCAAGGACTTCACTTTTGAATGTATACGTCACAAACACGTCATTTCAAAGGTTAGGGATAGGTGCCGACTATTGGATATTCTAGAGGGTGGTGGTAGCCAAAGGAAAACCGTTGACTAACAGTATTGGACACATCCCACCAACCCCCATCCCCCCAAAACAACAGCATACCCCCCAAAAAACAACAACAACAACAAAAAACAAAAACAAAACAAACAAACAAATAACAACAAACAAACAAAACAAACAACAATTACACAACAAACAAACAAAACAAACAAACAAAGAAACAAACAAAACAAACAAACCCACAAAACAAAACAAAAAACCCAAACAGACAACAAAACAAAACAAAAACGCGCACACAACCTCTGTGAAATAACAAGCAGGGCAAATCGGTCCCTGCGTGATCGAAAGCAGCCCGAATTACAGTTGTGACCTTACAATGTAATTAAAAAAATATATATATTCGGAGACTAGTTCCGTGTTTCCACCCTAAATGCCCTGGCAGGCAATCTGAGAAAAAATCGTTGCTTTGCTTGGTGAGTGCAATGCAAGTCGCTTCTTCAAGTAGTTAAACGGCTAAGATCAGTACCACAAGAAACTATATCTAATGATAAGAATACCAAAGGTAATGATATACAAGAATTATTTAACGCTCTGTATATGACATTAACTTGAGAATTTGGTATTCCACTTTGGGAAATGTCCTGGCCTGGGGACGAATATCAGCCTCTGAGCCTCTAGTTAAATCCCTGATAATTGAATAATATAGTTATGGTTCGATTAATTTTTTATGTAATCGCGTATGGCAATGGTAGTGGAGATATATCGTCGTGTAGGCTGTTTATAATTAATACCTTTGTTTGATCGGAGTTGATGTTTATGCCTAATGTCATAGAATTATGGCATATTGATTAGTATTTCATTAAAACTGCCAATCATACAGTGATTCATTTTGTATTAGATTGTTATTGGTTTTACAGACAATGGGTTGTCCAAAAAACTAGCTGAATTGATACGAATAATCCCACCGATGTGTTATTGTTTCCGCCAAATCACCAACATGGGATTCGGTCTGGATAATCTAAAGTGTCGCGGTTGTTTCATGTCTGAGATTGAAATGTAATTCAGTTTATGATATTGTTGTTAAAAATTCATTTCTAAATCACCAGAATCGATCACTGAATGTCATACCGTTATTCCAGATTAATGTTTTTGTTCATTGAGTCATGACATTGATCAAGCCGTTTATGATGTGACAGAGTGAGAATGGTTTTACGCCGCTTTTAGCAATATTCCAGTAATATCAGGTGGGGAACACCAGAAATGGGCTTCACACATTGTACCCATTCGGGAATCGAACCCTGGTCTGTGGCGTGATGAGCGAACGCTTTAACCACTAGGCTACCCGACCGCCCCCGTTTATGATCGGCAGATGAATACGGGTATATTCACTTACACATAACCACACTCAATATATTTTAAATCTTTAATATATCTACATGTTCACACTTATGTACATCTGAACACAAAATAAGTAATATAAATATGTTTATTCAATGGTATATAGTGAAATTAGCGTTGGATGTATTAACTTGGGATTTCAGAAAATACATGTGTAACATCAAATAAATTAAATATTGTTCCTCCCTGAAACCTTGTAGGTTTCATTTTGAACGTCGCTGTTTCAACATAATGACGGGTGATAAATCAAGGGTAATCAATAAATGTTTGAAGTTTTTCATTCCTAAATATCTTGACACATTTAAACCCAGAAGCAGGAATGACACCGTCTTTCAGGCGAATGAGTATAGATTTTCGCCACTTTGAGAAATATTTAGCCAGACCACACCAAGAATAGGCTCCTGAAGGAATACTCGTGCGTGAATTGACAAATCTCCTCTGCGTGATGAGACAAATCTTTAATCACTAGGTTGTTTCATCTCCATGTCAGAAACAACTTCACAGCAACATTCGTTTTGCTAGCTGCGTATTCCCACAACTGTACCTTCAGCACTGTTGAATGTCTTTTAGATAATTGGAATCCGTCGACGTGGATCACGAAGGTGCGGAGGAACTGCCATGGGATGAAGGTTACCCGGATGTAGAGCTGGATGACCCGGATGGATATTGCGAAGTTGAGCTTCTAACGGGTCAACCTGTCCCATTGTTCCTGCAGGCGATAATCCCGGGCGACCGGGAAATGTGTTGGAGGGGATGGCGTTGACGAGTTGTTCCTGTTGGTGTAGGGAACTAACACCGTTGCCTTGTACGTTGTTAATACCTGCGGTGTTTGAGTGCTGTGCTGGAAAATGGGATTGCATTGCAATCCCAGTCCCCTGATTTGAGGAACTTAAAGTATTAGAGCTAGAGACAGTTCCTTGACTGGCAAGACCTTGGCGTATTGAGCCAGATCCAGGGCCCAGTTGACCAGCCCTCTGAAGGGATGGGTTTATTCCGGAGCCAAGAGCCTGTTGCAACGCTGGATGCATCCCCTGCAGAACCGCTGGGTGGATTCTCTGTTGAAGAGCAGGATGAAGACCCTGCTGCAGAGCAGGATGAAGACCTCGTTGGAGAGCTGGATGAAGACCCACAGGGAGTTGGGCTCCTCCAAATCGCAGATCCTGCAATGCTGCGCGGTTATTGAGAGGTTGTTGTAACCCGATCTGGTTCTGGTTGCTGATTGATGCTTGACCTGAACCACTGTTGATTCCAGATTGAGAGTTTCCATTGGCCGAGTTGATGAATTGCTGTCGCTGTTGCTGATTGTTCAGGTCAAAGGTCTGTTGTTGTATGCCTGCATTGCCTGAGGTTGGCTGGAAACCAAGACTGTCCATCTGACCTCTCATGCCTCTTACTCTTGGATCCATCGAAGCTTGTCCTTGACCCATTCTTGGGTCCACACCCAGTTGTAATTGTCGCCTAGGATCCATTTGAATTTGACCCATGCCTATTCTGGGGTCCATGCCCATCCGCCCTGGAGCCATTCCGGGGCCCATGCCCATCTGTGATGATGCCATTCCGGGGCCCATGCCCATCTGTGATGATGCCATTCCGGGGCCCATGCCCATCTGTGATGATGCCATTCCGGGGCCCATGCCCATCTGCGATGATCCCATCCCGAGGCCCATCCCCAACCGCCCTGAAGCCATTCTGGGGTCCACGCCCATCTGTGAGGAAGCCATTCCTGGTCCCATGACCATCTGGGATGAACCCATTCCTGAGCCCATGCCCATCCGCCCTGAAGCCATTCTGGGGTCCATGCCCATCCGCCCTGAAGCCATTCTGGGGTCCATGCCCATCCGTCCTGAACCCATCCTTGGATCCATGCCCATCTGTCCCGGCATGCTTGAAGAAATCCCAGGTTGCCGCGCATTAAGCCCCTGATTAAACCCAGTTTGTGTTGCACCGAATCTAAGATCAGATCCAGCTGGCCTGCCCCGAAGCCTAGCATTGTCCATGGATCCAGGAAACCTGGGGTCCATCCCCATCGACATTCTACCCATCCTGGGGTCCATTCCTGGCATCCTTCCCCCCATTCCCAGTGCTGCCGGGCCACGCACGCCCCCAGGCATGCCAAGAGGCATAGGAGGACCAAACTGGGCATGGATATCTGAACACAACACCACAAGCAAGATCAGCTGATGGTAAGGGACCATTCTGCAAGACCAAAAAACAAGCGTCAAAATCAATAGATAACCAATCACATGGAATTATTATTATGATCATCATTATCATCACCGTCGTCATCGCATTTATCATCATTATCGTCATCGTCACCATTATAAATATACACGGACTTAAAAGGTAAAGTATGGGTGATGCTGATGACTCGTTTATTGTTATTGCTGACGCAGTAATGCTATGCATTGTATCGATTTGAAAAAGTGTATAACTCTAAACTAGGTGGCTGAAGGGAGCATTTCATAGATCGGTCCTGGCAGTGATAATTGTAATGCAGTAATAAGACAGAGTTTTCATTTGCACTTATACCTCATGCCGCCAAACAGGCACCTGTTACACACAGCCATCTTGGCTCTACGATAACCGTATGTTTATGTTGGATAATGACAGTAGCGCTGCAGTTTTCACAGATCACATTCTCAGAGTATATGCTTATACGACAAAATAAATGATACATATAAAAAGAAAGTACATCGAGTTTGTTTTTTATGTAACTGAAAATTGAAAGAACTATTGTTACATTTGCTTAGGTCTATTTAACCATCACCTATTCCTGATGGTTAATTGGTGGTCAAAATGTTTGTAAAAATTAATCTGTGGCTGGGTAATTTTGTGTAAGTTGTGTGAATAAGAAATGAATTTGCAACCACATGACCGCGTCCATGTTTGAAATGTTGTAAATGTGTGCTGTCAAACAGCCAATTTATTGAAGATAACCATCGGCAGTTCTGTATTGTGCGAATGTTTAAAAGTTTAACAACCAATTATTATTTTATGAATAAAGCCATGTAGACGTATTCTTTGAGTGCTGACTAAGCGCCAGGGTAGTTCAATGTGAAATTAAAAATCAAACATATGAGAAAATAAACTGAGAGTTATGGTTTCTTCGCTCCTTTGTTTGAATTGCATTTCACATTGCATTTTGTAATGATGTGTATGTTATCGAGAAGCAATAGTCTCATCGTATTGCATTAGATCGCCCAAGTATCCTATGACCAAAGTTAGTCAAGACGAAAATATCAGCTGAGCAAACTGGACGAAACTGACTTATAGTCTTGCGCATTGATAAATAAAACCACAAATAGAAATACCAAAATAGAAGAGAAATTAACGTACCTTATTCAATGTACATCCACAAGTCCGTGTTTAGTATCGTGCAGTTGTATTGACGGATACGGAGAGAGTGATTCGCCCTGTCTTATACCTCTCCTGTAGGTACTGTATGTGTCATAAATTAAATCTGCATCTATAATCAATTACATACGTACTTCACGGTGATTGATTACTATAAATGTGTCAATAGTCATTATAGGGATGGTATATGGTGATGAGGATATAATAATATACGTATGCGCATGACTGGAGGCGGGTATTATTGACGCATTGACGCCTCTTAGGCAAGTGACGTCAGTGATTGAATGGGTCTTCCTGGTTAATTGAAAGGGATACCCGGAAGGTATAGATGACATGTGGTCATTTATACGGGGACATCGAAAAATTAATTCTAAAATTAAATTATTTTACCTAATATTGATAGCAATGCATATATTGTTTCTGATGACTAAATGAAAAGTCTAACCTGCATTTTCTCAAGTTCATAAAGACAGCATCAGTATGATCAGTTTGGGCCATCTTAAACTTCATGTTATAGAAACAATATATCATCAATGGTTGTCATCCAATATATGCATTAACGTTAAAGACAGTTTCCGTTTCGATTAAAACGTGTCACTGCTAAAGGCTAGAAGATTATCAGACTCACGTAGGAAGTGAGATATAAATATATATTTAAGACACCATTATTATTGGACTATACAACTAATAAACACTAGGACTCATCGAGAAATTGTTTCAGTTGGAGCAGACATTACAACTGAGATGTGTATAGAATGTTTACAATTATCCTTTATGATTTCAAAGCAAATATTGGTGTGATAACTGTGTTGAAGTTTGAGTTATTGAGCCTAATGTCAAGTGACCAATAAGGTGAGTGGGTGAGTATGGTTTTACGCCGCTTTTAGCAATATTCCAGCAATATCACGGCAGGGAACGCTAGAAATGGGGTTCACACATTGTACCCATGTCGGGAATCGAATACAAGTCGTATAGGTATTTTTGCTCGTAATAAGTCAGAGAAAAAACGGACAATTTTCCCAAAACGTAATTTATACATATATGTTGTGTCTGACGTAGTAACGAGGTTTTGGATGTTTACATATTTATATTTTGCAAGACTTTCAGCTACACTATAGGTGTAGATATAAGATATGGTATGGATTGGGGTTGTGTTCTATCTATCTCGGTCTGACTAAATCTTCGCTTGCAGCGCCACTGATTTTCAAAAATTAGCTCTCTTTAATTCAGTCCTATTATGCAGGGTTGAAAATATTTTCCTGACAGAGTGAGTTTCGAAATGACGAATATAAGTGTTTACCAGTATACCTCGTGACGTGCAGCTTCTATCGTGACGCGTGACACGTGGTCACACACGGCAAATACCAATTCTCTATGTGAGGACGTTGTAATATTACAGACGTGTAAGATTTTAATTTATGTGGCTTGATGTTAACGACATTCCATACATAAAATTGTTCACATCGCACGAAAGATTCGTTGATCTCTTAATCGAAAATGACTTCATGTGAATTAAAATTTAACGTCGCTTCAGCATTATTTCATCCATATAGCGACGAGAACAAGTTGATATATACACAAGTGAGTCATGAATACAAAATTATACTTAAAAACAAATTGTAATGAAAGGGCTTCTGGTATTTGTATTATATCACGTTTGCTTGTTGACCATCGCAATTGCTCACACGAGTCTGAATACATGAAATGGCGTACACATAATTTAATTACAAGGGGCCAATTGGAACCGAATGAGTAGTTTCCGTTTCCAAAGGCGATGTTTCCCATGTAATATTCACAATTTTGACTTCAAAGCTCATCACCGTGCAATTCGACAGTGTAGGATACGCCTTGATGGACTGACACTGTCTAGAGTAAGTAAGTAGGATACACCTGGATGGACTGACACTGTCTAGAGAAAGTAAGTAGGATACACCTGGATGCACTGACACTGTCTAGAGTAAGTAGGATACACCTGGATGGACTGACACTGTCTAGAGTACGAAGAATACACCTGGATGTAATGACACTGTCTAGAGTAAGTAGAATACACCTGGATGGACTAACACTGTCTAGAGTAAGAAGGATACACCTTAATGGACGGACACTGTCTAGAGTACGAAGAATACACCTGGATGTAATGACACTGTCTAGAGTAAGTAGGATACACCTGGATGGACTGACACTGTCTAGAGTTAGTATGATACACCTGGATGGACTGACACTGTCTAGAGTAAGACGGGTACACCTGGATCGACTGACACTGTCAGGAGTAAGACGGGTACACCTGGACCGACTGACACTGTCTAGAGTAAGTAGGAAACACCTGGATCGACTGACACTGTCTAGAGTAAGTATGATACACCTGGATGGACTGACACTGTCTAGAGTAAGAAGGATACACCTGGATGGACTGACACTGTCTAGAGTAAGTAGGAAACACCTGGATCGACTGACACTGTCTAGAGTAAGTATGATACACCTGGATGGACTGACACTGTCTAGAGTAAGTAGGATACCCCTGGATGTAATGACACTGTCTAGAGTAAGACGGGTACACCTGGATGGATTGACAGTGTCCAGGTAGAGAAGCATACAGCAGGATGGACTGACGCTGTCTAGAGTAGGTAGGTTGATGTGTGTGGACTGACACTGTCTAGAGTAAGTAGGTTGATGTGTGTGGACTGACACTGTCTAGAGTAAGTAGGTTGATGTGTGTGGACTGACACTGTCTATAATAAGTAGGATACAGCAGGATGGACTGACACTGTCTAGAATAAGTAGGTTGATGTGTGTGGACTGACACTGTCTAGAGTAAGTAGGTTGATGTGTGTGGACTGACACTGTCTAGAGTAAGTAGGTTGATGTGTGTGGACTGACACTGTGGACTGTGGGTGTACGTGGGCGGACTGTCTGGTTGGTGGACGTGGGTGGCGTGACACTGTGGACCGTGGGATGTACGTGGGTGGACTGTCTGGTTGGTGGACGTGGGTGGACTGACACTGTGGACTGTGGGATGCACGTGGGTGGACTGTCTGGTTGGTGGATGTGGGTGGCGTGACACTGTCCTGAATGTATTCATTTGGGTGACATATGTTTATATTCTTCAGTGACGTACATAGGAAGCTTACAATGTGGCAAGTAGGTAGGGTATTTCATTTGTTTATTTACTATGTAGCCTGATCTTCCATATTGATTTAATATAACAACTTTGGCGTCGGTGTATCCCAGTAAATGTGCTGGCTCCATTCCATACATTAACTGCCTGGCAACAGAAACTATACACCCATGTTTGATGATGGCTAAAAATGAAACAAACAAGAAATGATGAATCGATGGTGATGATTTAATACGGGTATCATAGTTGTGTTTTGTACATACAGTTTGCAGTGTTTCGGAGACTGTTTGCAACCTCGTAAAGTTTTGATAACGTTTGTAAAGTTTTGGTCAAATCGTATTTTCAAGAGTTAACTTTCGCTTACCGGCAGATACAACTACTGCTAAAGTACATGAAAGTATTTGCTCACGTAAAATATAAAAAAATGCATATAATTTCTTTTGAATTATTACAATTATTAATGCTTTTGAAAGGTCGGAGGGGCGTTTAAATAATGTGGACATTGGCAGAACAGTGTTCTAGCGGTGTGAGGATCCGCTAAATGTGTTCGAGTCCCAGATTCGCCCCGATTAATACACTTGGTTTGTCAGCACCATACCTATGCATCACGTTGGACATTCCTCCCATAGTAGGTTAACAGTGTCATATACCCGTGAATTGATCTTCAGCACCCATTGTCTTCAGCAACTCATGTTTGTCGTAAGAGGCGACTAACGGGATCGGGTGGTCAGGCTCGCTGACTTGGTTGATAAATGTCATCGTCTCCCAATTGCGTGGATCTATGCTCATGATGACAATCACTGGATTGTCTGTTTCAGACTCGATTGTTTACAGACCGCCGTCACAGAGCTAAACATTGGTGAGACGACGTTGAAGAGCAAACGAACAAAAAATAGCAATGGCATAACGTAGAAACTATTCAGTCGTTTAACCCAATTCGGCGAGGCGACTAGATACGATCGGGCGGATTGCGTTGCACCGTGCCCTGATGACCTATATAGTTGCTCATGTTTTCATTCACTGGTTTGTCTGGTCCAGCCTTGGAATGTTTACAGGCCGCTGTGATACAGCAGTCTACTTTCTGACAGCGGCGTTAAACACCATTCAATCACTCATCTCTCACTCAATCCTTCGTTTATGATATTAAATATGTTCATACCTACAATCCATCAATAAATTCTTTTTAAACGGATTATTTAAACGGAGGTTATTTAAAGCAATTGTTGTCCCCAATATCCTAAATTGTAATGCAATATTACCAAATAGGTTCGGACTAAGATCTTTATATATCTTGAGAAGGTTGTACCACTCATTCGCCATGTCTAAATAATAAGGAATGTAGATATCTGTCAACGTGTCTGGAACATGATTGATTGACTGCTATTGAACACGGTAACATACAAGGAAACGCCGGCATTGCCTCGTGGGACAGCTGGAATACGTGGTCTGGCATGTTCGGAGCAACAATCGTTTAACGACTTTGTTACTGAGTGTTGGGGTGTGATATACACGTCCAGCCCTGTCGATCAACATTAAATAACGGATGTGTCCAAAGATATAAAAATGTGTAAATATAAAAAGACCAAATGGCTGGCCAAATATCGATCGCGTTCGCACACTAAACTACATGCTGTGCCCGTGAAGGAACCAGGCACTAGAAGGTGAGGTGAGTTGAAATGGGGTTTTACGCCGCTTTTAAATATTCCATAAACATCACAATGGGGACACTAGAAATGGGCTTCATACGTTGTAACCATGTGGGGAATCGAACCCGGACCTTAGGCGTGACAAGTGAACGCTTTAACCATGAAGTTACCTCACCGTCCTACTACTGTAAAGGAAGTATACACAAAGACAATAAACAACGTCATGCTGGCTATACATTGTGTTTGTAATAAAACGAATAAAACAGATTAATTAGAATATTGATAAAATCATGGTTAATCGAACTCTAAATAAAAAACATAGTTCTTATAACTAAAGATTACAAACATGTCACTGAGATG